TGATAATAATTTTATTTGTAGATTATTTGTATTTGCTTACTGTACTTTTTATTAACATGATGTATAGATAGGATATTTGTATTATACATATATACCGCAAACCACATAACATAAGTTCCATCCAAAACTACAAGAAGTCGTAAAAAGTACGATGTAATGAGAATATTAGGCGTGGTTGCTTTAGTAAACTTGGTGTAATAACATATGATTTTCATATTTAATATATACAGGATAAGGACTAGTTCTTAGTTCAGTGGAGTTTAAGTATCTGAGTTATTATTCTTTGTTGTGCCTCATTAAATGGATTTCTTGGGTATACTTATTCATATAAGAGGTGGATATATGTTCATTATATTTTTTTATTAATTATGTTATTCAGAATTTATATTAAGAATATGAATATTTGTCTGTCTTTCCGTTTGTTAGTTTGTATGTTTATATTATTATAATAAAACGATTGAATGACCTTAAGGAAGGAAGTTAGTATATATAGTTATTATATCGCTAAGGCGCATATAGGCTTTCTTTATCTGAAATAAAATCAGATAAAGTCGCGGATAACTGCTAGTATAGACTATAATATTAATAATAATAAATAACCCTGGACAATTAAGACAGCGTCAGTTAGTCCCACGGTAAGCAGAACTTGTGTTATGGGTAACTAATATAAATACTTAATTTTTTTTTGTAAATACTTAGTAATAACATACATGGAAAACAACAATCATTCTCATGAATACAAATGTTTGTACCATGCAGGGAATCAAACCCGCGACCATCGGAAGTAAAGAGGTGTGCTAAACTACTAGACTACCGAGGATGTTACATTGATGTATTAGCAATTAATGTTCTATTTATGTATTAACTTTTATCATTATAGCTACATTGTCTAACAACAATATCATTTATAAATTGTAATCTTTTCAAAGAATTTAATGGCGATACAAGTATAATGCCACTTTATTGCTCAGATCGTAAATGTAGAAATCACAGAAAGGATTGTGCCAATGTGGAGATTGAAACGACTGACATTCTAAAGTGCTATTACGGGATTTAACTTAATATTCTATTACATGTAGATATAAAAATATAACCTACGCCCGACCTACATATATGAGCTTCAAATAAATTTTTACGCTCAAGAAATTCTTTACTTGAACGATAATAATGTTGAAAACATTTTTGTATAAAAAATATTAAAATAAATTATATATCGTTAATTTATTTTTATACATACTAGCTCTTAGACGCGTGTTCGTCTGCAAAAACTTTTATTCACTATTAAAAGAGGGGGCTCTTTTATTCTAGTAATACTACTTTCTATGTCTTTAGTATGATAATAAAAAAATACATTAATTAATAATGAAGAAACTACATAAATTTGAATACTGACCATATTATTATAGAAACAATATGACAGTAAATCAAATAGGTTATTGAAAGAATCTATAATAGTCTTTTTTGGAATTCTCAAAGATATCGCATTTTTATGTATTACATACATATAATACGTAAATATGCGTTTTATAATCATACAAACAATCATATGTAAGAGTATAAAATGTTCACAGCGTATAACAATGGAACCTATGATTATCGGATTCGTAACGCTGGACTACCGAGGCCCTTCTCTATATAATTTTAAAATCATTAGTGACTATAAAAAATTAAATAACTTTGTACATAATAAATGATATAATTAAACATATTTGAAATTGGTTCTCAATTAGAGCAATGAAAATTTGTTGACACCGTTACAAGAATCAAGTTTAATTAATTAATGAACCCTTTCGTTAACGGATTAATGATTCTTAAAAACTTTATTCACTTGTAGAGACGTCGCTCTGATTTAATTTGATTATAAAATCTTATAGAAGTGTATTAATTCTAATGTTCATTTTCTTGTTTGTGTTAAGTGATATTTTAGTTAGTTTTGAATCGATTTTGATGATTAATTATTTACTTCATATGATAAAAAAATATTTTGTTATTTATTTTTTATCAATTTTAATCAATTAAGTCTTTTCTTAAACCTCTGAAATGTTTAATAATATTATTAGTAGAATGACTATAATAAAATTTTTAATATATATTAATATCATATTTAAAATAAAATATTTATTATATAAAAAACTAGCCCACGACTTCGTTCGCATGTTACAGTGACCGTAACCAAAAAAGAATAATATTCAATAATCTAATACAAAATGGCAAAAAATGATTTCTTATTGTTTAAAAAATTACGACTTTCTGTAGAATAAATTTAACTGAGAATGTAACTTACATCCTAAATAATTTAATAACATTTTGTTACTGCATAGAACTAGGCTCATATACATAGTTATCAGAGCCGATCAGTCCTTATAAGCATCACCCTATTACAAATATAACGGTATAACTGGCGAGTAAGCCATCACTGCCATTTATATATCTAAGTCATATATGTAAAGGAAGCCGAATAGTTAAAATATATTTACGACTAGAATCGCAAAGATGGGTAGACAGAATTAAAAATTTTCATACAAAGTTTTCATATCATGCAGATTGAACGAGTTTACAAGTAAGAGTACTAAGCCACTAACTACGTCACGATACATTCATCGTAAAAGATTCAAATCGGCGTCAAATAAACAACAATTGAGATTCACGTATCCAACGATCTCAAAAAGCTTACGATACCTTTGGCTATATCCACAATTCCAAAATTCCATTTACTCCCAATAGCTTCGCAAAATAAACTGATGTCAGATATCAAAGGTTTCAAGGTGTGTTCTAAATAAACGTGTTTCAAACAAGGATGCCAACCGTACGAGGAGCCACGCAAAAGTTAGAGATTTTTTAACTTCGGTATGAGGTTATTTACATTCTAGTACAAGTTTACGAGATTTTGACCTACGAAATACGATGATGTACGAGCTTAAATGTAGCTGTTTGTTGAACTATATCAATGTTTTTTGAATACCATTTTTATCAGATTTTTTATTTATTCGTACGAGGCTCATTATTTTAAGGTTGGCAACCCTGATTTCAAGCTTCCATTTATTTCTTTGTAATAGGTAGGAAAGATACATACTGTTTACTGAGAGTAAGAAAATTGTGAAGAGCGAATATTATACACAACATACTCTTAAGTGATGTAGTTTTTATTTGTTGTTTTGTTAGGAAATGACAATAGGGTGAGAATGTTTTATCAATAACAGTGTAGCTTGTCATTCATTAGGAGGATTTTGCACTTTTTTATATATTGTATTAACTGTAGACTATTTGACTATTAGATTTAATAGTCAGTTATTACATAATATATAGATATATAATATACATAGAAAGTACCCAGATCAATACAAACAATAATACTAAAGAATATCAATGTTTGCACCATGTGAATCGAAGCCGCGACCATCTGAAGTATAGCGGTATGCTAAATCCTAAACTATCTTCGATATACAAGTGTACCGTTGAATCATTCATAACAGGTGTAGTATTTTGTGGTTTGATTTTTATTGTACGTGATTTTTCGTCTTAATTCTTTCTTACTCTGATTGATTGCACTCTATACATGTATGATTGTGAATGGAGAAGAAAATATTGATTATATTCAGATAAAAGATAGATAGAGAAACTTTTATTTGTTTTAAAGGCACGTCCATACAAGGCACAGTAATGTGAAAAACAAAAATAAGAAGTAGATACACAATTACATCAGCCAGTTAGCAAAATACTGATTTTCAGGCATTACCTAGGGACACAAGCATGTAACAAGACCGCCTCATCTAACCAGCCCTATTACACTATTTTTAACAGTAATAATAATAAAAATCAGTAACATTTACAGAAATTGTATAGATATAACATAAAAAATATTAAAACGTACTAAAAATAATAAAGACGCGGAAAACATAATTATATACCAATATTTTATTAATACATAAATAGAAAAAATAAATTGTATCAATTTTATCGGAAAAACCAAGTCATGAGTCTGTATAACATCTGTTACCCAGTAGTTAGGATGTTAAATATACAAATACAAGCTTTACGGAACAGGGCGTCAGGTCTGTTCCCGCAAAAAAACTGTTTATTCCTTGAACCCTTTGAAATGGGCCTTGCAGACTTTTTGCCGGAAAATTGAATATGTGAAAACTGAAAGGAAGAAAAACTTACGGTCTGTCAGGCTTATGAATAATAAACGTGGCTTGTGCCAACAAAGAATTTCAGGGTTGACTTTCAATAAGTGCGAAAGAGATAAAATATATTTCGCACTCTAATGAAACGCCCGCACAACCGTCGTCTCTGTGTAGGTTGTATAACTAAGCCGATAAAAAAATTTAGGCAATGATAATATAGTATTTTTTTTCTAAAGTGACTGTAAAAATGTATTCATACGTTTTTTGGTTTACATTAACACACTTCGTATATTCAGTACCAATGTTAATGATACTTGACTGAATCGTAAAAGCTTGCTCTCGTGTTGAATTTTCAGTTAATTGTTCTATTTAAAAATGGAACTACAATTCGAGTATTTAATATACAAATATGGAACTAATTCTGTAAACATTTTAGCACTTCTCTGTGGTATAAAATAGAGTTCGATTTTTTTATAATATTTTTTTTATAATGTAAATAATGATAGGCTTTCATTCAACTTGAACTAGACTAATATTGCCAAAAATCTTGTATACATATATTCTACTTATAATTAAGTATTCCCATAATTTTTTTGAGATAAAAGATCAAGATATATCGTACCACGAGGACCATCGTCGACCATCTATCTTCATGTTTTTCATTTAAATCTGATCAGCCGTTTAGTCGTGTAATAGTAAGACATACTGACATAATAGACTGACAGCCGTACTTTCTCATTCAAAATATTAGTACGAATTATAAAACATTTTATTTTACAAATCACAATAAAAATTAATTCATTAGAACTAAGTAAAAGCATTTTAAATAATATTAGAATTACAATACATTTTAAATTTATCTTTTTATTCTGACAGCTACCTCTCTGGTAACTTACGCTGGAGAACGCTATGACTTCGTGGTTGACGCTAGTAACGAGATTGACAATTACTGGATTCGATTTCGTGGGCTAATGGACTGTGATGAAAGGTGAGTGAAAAATACCTACATACATTTTCAGAATATTAATGAGGGTTCCATGTGAACCTTCACATGGTCCCCTCTGCAAACCAAAAAACGATGGACTATTAAACCTGACTATATCCCAAGTTTTATAAGTAATTAAATTAATTCTTTTCTTTCTTTCTTAAATAGGATGTATGATTTGATCAAAGGTTCTGTTTTATCTTTTTAGTTCGGGACCCTAAAAAAGCCACAAATATCTAGATAATTCTGAATGGAACGTGATTGAAATTTATAAAATTTATTAAGTCTGTCTTCGTTTGTGAAGATTTTTAAACAAAAGTACTGACAATTAAGTTATTTTATAGTAATAGGAGTTTTCTTTCGTTGGTTCAATTCAAGTTCAACTTATCAGAGAGATTAGCAATTTTCAACTGCTTCAAAAAGGAGGTTTCTCAATTCAAGTATGTTTTTTTAGGAGAATTGTTAATTTTGAGAATTTATTTATGTATCACGTATAATATTAATCCAGATCGGTATGTTATTGTCTGACCTGATCTGATCTGGCTGATCAGATCAGGTCAGAGGCGTATTTCTATGTCTTGTCAAACCATATTATACAGGTAAATTAGTATGTTTATATATATATATATATGTATATATATATATATATATTATTTTTCTGTACTCGTCTATTCTTATTTTTTTTATATTAATAATAATTAAAGTGCCACCACCACCTTGCCGCACAGAGACGGTTGACTGGTAAATAATACCATCAGACATTATGTCCGCAAAATATAACATATACATAGCATAGCAAAATATACATTTTTGTATGCAAAAGAATAAATAAATAAACCAGTTTTATCAATAATAATCGTTCCTAAACCTAGGCTGTGTACACCTAAACCATTTTATATAAAAAGGTCGGCTTGAATTTTGCTAATAAGACAAATATTTTGGTAAATTCTCAAACATTCGGTCGAGTTTGTATTATAAAATGAAATTTACTTCGGCCCCACAAAGCTATCTCGATGCAATGATAATATTCATCGGACCAGTCTGTTGTTGTTCCATGAAGCCGAGAAGATTTTAAATTGATAAACATCCTGTTTCTATCTATAGAAAATGATAGAATATTATTTGGCTACTCAAAAATTTTCTCTCTACAAAAAGGAGAAATATATCCAGTAAACCATTTTATTTTATGGTATGGTCCAAGCATTTATTATTACAAGTATGGTATTTTATCGGCATATACATACATACATAGAGGTATACTGTGTATGTCGTCTGCATGGGTACCTATTTCAGCCGTCAAGTAGCATGCTTTATAAGCTGTATTTCGGTTACAGAGTCTAATTAGATAGTGAAATTACAGACATGATACACGCACAACGGCCCGAATGAGAGGCCAATTGCGGAAAATGGAGTCCAACCTACAGACATGATATCTTAGACCTCTAAAATGGCAACGCATCAGTTTAACATGGGTGTCATATGATGTTCTTAGCACTGTCTATGTATATAGGCGATGGTTACCGATCAGGCCGTCAATTTGTCTCTACAATTCAAAGTACCTAAAAATACGCTATTTCAAGATATTCCAGCAATTTCTTTTATTACTTTATTAATAAGTTTTAATTTGTTTAATTCTACTATCATTAGTATGCATGAGACGATGACGTTTTTATTTAACAAATAGATAAACTAGCTCTATTTGAGGGAAAGAGTCAATCGTCGCCAACATATATTAATAGTATCACAAACGTCATAAACATTATGCCATCTGTACTTATCAGTCATGTCTTACCATTTCTGTGGGCTAAGTAGTTATACCTTCGTATTTTTTAATTTGACTGCCATATGTCACCATTGAAACCGTAATATACACTTTGCTAGGTATAAGCGGCAGAAATAAATGAGACAGAAATAACCACAATTTGTACACAGTCATCTCACTCAGTCAGTCGCTCGTTCATCTTTTCATTTTCAATTCGTTAATCAAAGAATATTTGTTACCATTTCGCGTCTCTAGTCCTCTCAAAGTATACCTTAAGGGCGTTTCATTAAACCATCTTATTGAGTGCACACGCGGAAAATAAATAAAACAGTAATGTTTGTATATCACTATTGATACTGAAGATGCAGTCGAATGACATGTTTGTGTCAACAGATTCACAAAGGCGAAACAAGTGGCGGTACTTCATTATGAGGGTGCAATGGAGGTGGAACCGGAAGGCGACCCGACTTGGGAAGAACTGCACAACGAGGGATTGGTAAGTATATATACCTACTTTTAGTACTTTTTATATTGAGACTGTGTAGGCTTAGCAGTTTACAACACATACTTAACTCAATAGGCTTGGTTCAAATTAGGCATACAAAATAAATCTGATTGTCTTTCCAATGATGGAAATACCGAAACAACCGGTCTAATTCGTAATACAGCATCCAAATGATTTGTAGGCTTACAAGTCAACAATTCCTTTTGGTTAAACACTAAGTTCACCTCTGACTACTCAACCTCTGTATTACAGCTCATCATTGTTTCCTTAATATTTCACGTACATTTTGTCACAACTGAATAGAAAAATAAAGATATTAAAAGTTTACAATTTTGTATAAAAAACATGTGTCAAAAAAATATGAAATATGTCTGTCGTCAACACACTGTATAACTTAAGAATATATCATTAAATTGGCAACCACTTTTCTATCAAGCTAACCCCATAATATCTCAAGATTAGTTGAAATGATCAAATGAAAGGACACTATCTATCTTGCGTGTCATTTGGCGACACCATAAAATATATCGGCTCAATACAGCACGTATAGTGCGGTGTGCCATATTCTCATTCACCCTCGGTGATCGTAAAAGTATCGCCATGTTTGGATATCTTCGGCTGATAAGTTGCTTCTCGGGATTATGTTTTGTCGATAATGCTATAAAATTCGATACTTGTGCCTCCCTATTTTTTATACATACGAGTACATAATGATGAATATTATTAAAAGAAATCTAATCTTAATTTTGTTGAAATTATTTGCTTTTTAGTCTACTATTTATTTCGTAATCCCAAAATTTTAAACAAAATATTTCATGGTAGTGAAATTGATGTTATGGAAACATGGCATCTTAGTATTTAGAATAGCAACAGCATTTAGAATAGAACTAGTGGTACCACGGATATCACAACACAACGTGATGTGCCTGGTGATGTCATATACAATGGCGACCGTTACCACTTACCATCAGGTCAAATTGTATATTATTCTAGTCATATAAAAAAAGATCTTACTTATATGGACTTAGTCTGCCATTTATTAAACTTTATAATATTATATGTGACTGTGCTTTAGAAAAACGAATTCGTTTTATCTATTATGACCAAATTATTAGACCAAACGAGTTAACTTATACATTTTGCAATAACAAATTTTGTGTAATAGAGAAACTGTATATTGTTTTGATGTCAGTTTGAAATTATTAATCATAATTATTACAATGCCTTCGACACTGATATTTTTGCCATACCAATATCTTAATATGAAAAGATCAACCTAGTCAACGATTACGTTAAAATGCTAGCTTGACAAACTATTAAATGCAGATATTTTCATTGTTTCAGCAACTAAATGCTTTGAATAAAGGCGAAGAAGAAGACGAAACTGTGAGCGTTGCAGAGATGAGATCATTAGCAGGATATGATGACACGTTGAAAGAAGTGGCCGACTACCAATTCTACGTGGCTTATGACTTTTACGCAAAGAATAATTCACATTTCCACAGGTCGCCATATTATGGATATTATCAAGGTAACAATTTTTTTTATGTGATACAAACAAAACATACCAAGTCACACACGTAGATACACATATTTGCAAATATTTACTGTATTTAGAAGTCGTAAGTATTATTGTTAAAACAAGTTGTCTATTCTTTTAGATGTGTGATTTATTTGTATCTACTAAAACTTCATCCATTTATTCTGTTTGTGATGGCATTGTTTTTATTCTTCTTAGTTAACTATTATAAGCTCTCTCTAAAATTAAACTTTTAATTTTAAATAAGTTAAGCTTAAGTTCTTCGTGTAAAATAGAGTAACATAAAGATATGTAATTACTCCTTTTCATCATCGCAATGTACATCAATATGTTCATTGTCAGTCAGTTTAAGTGAATTCGCAAGAAGCATTTGTAATGGTACAGTAATATTTAGTCTACCAACAAAGATTCACGATGTTTTATACATATATGACCGTTACTACTAGCACAATTGAATCCTAAACATAATTACTATTTCTAGTAACATAACTTACCGACAATATAAAAATTTAAAATATTCTTCATTTTACAGTACCAGTGAAGACTAATCGATTGTACACACCTCAACTTAATCACATTAGTATGAAGATGCCATCGAGTCCATTACTTCTTAATAGACCTTCACCCGAAAATTTCTGCAACTCGTCGAGTATAGATGACAACTGCAAGGAAGGCTACTGCGAATGTTCTCATGTTTTATCAGTTAGATTAAATTCCGTTGTTGAAATTATTATACTTGACGAGGGAGTAACTTTTGATGCAAATCATCCTTTCCATCTACATGGACATAGTTTTAGAGTAGTTGGAATGAGACGACTAGCTAATGAAACAACTATAGAAGAAGTAAAAGCATTTGACGAAGCTGGTTTATTAAAAAGAAACCTTAAGAATGCACCAATAAAAGACACGGTTACAGTGCCAGATGGAGGTTATACGGTCATTAGATTTAAAGCAGATAATCCTGGATACTGGTTGTTCCATTGCCATATTGAATTTCATGTTGAAATTGGAATGGCTTTAGTGTTTAAAGTGGGTGAACATAAAGATATGCCGCCAATTCCCCCTGAATTTCCCAGATGTGGGAGTTACATGCCAGATAACATGTTAGAACACGCTACTACAGAGAAACCGAAGGATGATAATTCATATATATCTATAACACATTGGTGGCCTGTAGTAGTTATGAATTCTACATCATCATGTGGCTCCTCAAATTGTTTATTAGGACTTATATTCCTATGTAGTGTTTGGGTATTAAAATTGAACAGTGCAATGTAATTTATAGCATTTGAAATTATTAATTTAGTTGAATTTATTGAGATTGCGGTGTCATTAATCTTATCGGTTGCTACAATACGAATTTGTACTTACAATAATGTATTTATTTAATTGTGCATTTTCATATTATGAAATTGCATTTCCAATTCATTCAATTGTTACACGGTTATTTATTGGACAGTACTTATGTTAACTCGTATTTACATGGATCGTTAACTATTTATTTTCTAAATGGAAGGAACTGTATTAATATTATTGAACTACATGTCTGTGATTTATTAATTATAGATGTTATGCAGCTTGCCAAAAATATTTAAACTTCTATAAAATCTGTGAAAATTGTCGCTGGTGATATGTGATATTACTTAGTTAAGTTAGTATTTAATTATTGTAACTTTAATATAATATTTTATATGCAAGAATAAGTGCAGTTATTACATACTGAGTTTTTTTTAACAACCTTAAATAGAGTAGAACTACAATAAAATATTCAAGCAGTAAAATCTGTAAACGCAAAGATCTCTGTAGCAAGGTCAACAATCCCATGAAATTTCAATATCTCGCTTTTCGAAGTGAAAAACTTTGTATATAACTTTGTAAGGTTTGGCGAAACTTTGTTTTCGAGTCGAATCGGTGCCTATTCGAGTTAATCCTCCGTTCTACCACTAAACTTGTACTCTAGGAAATAAATAGGAAGCACTGCCACGAACGTACCACGGAAGACTTTTTTAATGAACGAAACTCTTGACGTGGCACCAGTGCAAGGTAATGGGATGAGTATCTACGTCATTTACATCATATTTCATACTCATGAAGTCTGGTTTCTGTTAGGTCATCGTGGCAAAATTATCAGGAGTCAACCACGCGGTGGTTTCAGGGAGGAGGTCAATTTGACATGGTACAATAATAGGGTTATTAGAATCCATTACTAACAATTCCCTCTCCCCACTGATGACTTGGTGAACTAAGAATTTGGTGCACTAAAAAAAAGCCTAGGATGAGGAATTATGAAATATTTTTATTTAGCGGCATTGGTGCTCTTTCTGGTACTATACAGCCTTATTTCCGATGTTCCCTGGTTCGATTCGAGTATAGTATAAACATTTGTATACTCGTTTGTGTCTTTTTTATTATATTATATATTTATAGTTAGTATTTGTATATAAAAACTTAGTACAGTTATAGTGTTGACTTTACAAATGCTGATTATTGTTATGAAACTACCTTGTTGAAGATAAAACCTGTACGTTCATATTTTTCCATAGCCATATATTTTTAAATATTCCTATCATAGATCTTCTTTTGTTTTTCATTGTAAATGATTCTTTTCTTACGAAAGTAAATTATTTTCATTTATCCAAAATTACCTATTTTTATTTGAATAATCATAATAATTTACTGAGAAATCTGTAATACACCTCAACATCCCTTTTATATTAAAATACCATCTCTATTTTTACCAACTTTTTTATCAATGAAACTCAGTCTGCCAGTTAGTATTCATATGAACGTGATATTTATACTCTATTCATGCGATACTCAGATAGCATCGCCGGTACATTCATATTATGACCACAATCACTCACTTCACAAAAGGTCCTGTCGCAGATTCCTATAAAACCATATCTTAGGGAACTTTACCAATTAAGATAGCGTCTAAAAGAGGGCCTAAATCAAGTCGCAAAAAGAAAGGTTGAAGTAATAAATATAGTAGAAAGATGGGCGGTGCTTCTCAGGGGTAAAATGCGAGAAAAATAGGCTCTGTTGCCACTTATCTGTGATCTTTGCTTGCGTATATTATGGCTGGGGACTGTATGTTACACCGTCAGCGAATTTGCTACAATAATATGTATATAGAAAACAACCAGACCAATACCAATAACCATAGATACTCATGAATACAAATATTTGTAACTTAAGAGGATACGAACCCACGACTACTGGAACTAAGGCATTGAGTTAAAAATTTTGACCACCCAGATCGTCAAATATCATATTCAGTTTTCTACGTCTATTCTTTCCCTTCATAGTTCTCGAAATTTAAATAAATATCAATATGCCTCAGGTTTATATTTTTATTTATTCGCTTTTCTATAAAGATTTCTTACATTTTTTATCAAGTTGTACCTATATATATATTTCCTGTATTCAAAGTTACGTCATTTTCTTCATTATGTCAAATAGTAGTAATGTAACAAATAAGTCAAGCATATATAATCTTTTAATGAATGTAAAACATTATATTATTACTGAACGGTGTAATAGTCACCGTTTGCAACTCACGTTCTTTTCAGGATCGGTAAGTACGTATTAGCTTTGATGGAATCGAGTGGTATTGATTTTTGAGTCCTCGAATCTGCCCTTACAGTGTTTAAATTAGATTATTCCATTCCTTGGGGAGGTCAGCGCCTGGCTGGAATGGTCGTGTCCGCTCGGATTACTATGTTGTTTAAACTGAAAGGCTAGTCCATTAGTTAAATTGGTGCCGATGGTGTTAATTTTCTAGAGTTCGAAGCATTTTCTCAACTAACCATATTTGTTTTAAAGACACTGATAACCATAATTTTGTCTTTCTAGAGCTGTCATTTAAGTAAAGAAAATATATCTGGAGATATAAAAACTTTCAACTGCAGTACCTCTTCCAAGATTTTAGTCATGAGTATATATATTTATATAATTATCTAATAATCAGCTGGCGATCTAGATGCTTTCCGCAATACCCCATTAAAATGATGATTTTTTTATTAAGAGTCAATACCCTACAATAGCCCAATGGTTATTGTCAAGTACTAAGACCTGTAACACTGCAACCTGCATTGATCTATTGTGCTCGCCCTTTTTCAAAGTTCGCTACCTAAACCCGTCAGGGACAAGAATTGAAGTATATTCTTAGGAGCGATGGTTTTTAGTAGTCTAGAAGTTATGAGCGAACATATGAATATACAAACATAGAGTACACGCATACCGGTTAAAATCATAATCTTCCTTGTTTTTCTCCTAAGCAGGCCTTGTGTTGTGGGTAGGTACTAAGACAATTGATATAAACACATACAAACATTTATGTTAATGTTTTATGTGTTTTATACGGTACATACCTAGCGAGGAATCGAACCCGTGACCATGGGAAGTAAGGCGGTGCCTTATTCACTAGATCAACGAGGTGTCATAACAATCCAGCTAAAAAGTACAGTTTGTATTCCTCTCAATAATTATTCTTAGGTACCCCTGTATTCAGCATCTTAGATATTTCAGGACACATAAACCTTGAATATTACCGCTGGAAGTTTTCAATTTTGAGGAACATTTAACACATCCTGAAGTTTTTAATTCATTGCAAAATTCCCTGAAATAATGACCACAGACATTTTCACTGCATTATGTAAAGCATTTTTCCAAAACTGAAGTAGGTATCATTCGCGAACAGTCGACGCCTGGGAATCAACTTTATTATACCAACTTCTTAATTCATTTTTTAATAAGGAAAAGCTTTGAGTAACTTTTCAAAGAAGTTAAATTTAATTTAAAAATAAAATATATGAAAAGAATAACTGGTAAGATCCTTTTTTCCGGTACAAAACAACTTCTCAAAGCGGCAAGAGTTTATGATTCAGACTGTAAGAGGCCTTTTAAATAAAACATTTTTATTGTATAAATATATTCATACTTCTTAATTTAATATTCATTTTGTTAATTTCCTTCATTAAATCTTTATGGGTGATATAATAAATTGAGGAAATACTTACTTAATTTATAATATCACATTTTAATGGTCTACTTATCATTTACATATTCAACCTAATTATTACATCATCGTTCTCATTTTCTTTACATGTCGAAAAATAGTAATGAAAATTGTCTGTTTGTCTGTATATATACATATATATGTATATGTGTGTTAAGATTTCACATAAAAATGGATGGAGGAATTGAGATAAAATTCTCACAGAATCTATTTTATATATTTCCTAATAACCCTGGGTTTGCACGGATGCATTACATATCTTTAAATTAATAGGCTTTCTGTACACGCATGTTGCATATATTATACATATAAACCTTACTCTTGAATCTATATAATTCTAACTATTGCTGAAAACTATATTGAAATATATTGCCTAATTTAAAAAATATAAGCGAACAGACAACGGCGGGGACTTTGTTTTATATTATGTAAATAATTAGGGGTAAATAACAAAGCACGCATCTTTATTAACATTGAATACAAAGTTGTAGAATTACTTATAGACGAGCACGACTTACATATATACTATGTATATGCATATATATCTATATATATGTTTAACAATTTAAACATACCATGTAAAATATATATATATTGCTCCGACATAGACGGTAAGATCTTAATATAATATTAAATCGCGCTGAAATAAGAAAACAATTTGTTAAGTGTTAATTGTGTTAAGGAAACATAAATCACAAATAGAAAGAATAACCAAATATTAAATCTAATTGAATTATTATCGTAAAATGTTTTCTTTGACTTTGCCACAAAATATTGTTTTTCATGGTAATAGCCCTTGCAGAGAAAATGAGCAGAATTCATACATAACGATGCCCGGACAAAGGAGGAACAAAAGGTTGAGCCACGGGGAAGGAAACTACTTCATAATAGACATTGTGTGTTGATCATGAGAAAGAAATACTAAATGCTCGTAGTAAAAATATTACAGACAACGTAAAATGCATCTACAAATTTTTTGGGCATCTTCTTTACTACTTTACTAGTCTTAGCAAACACTTCTTAATTTCAATCGAATTAATAACGTTTCTAATTCGACTTTATGTTTGGGAATAAGTTGCATCTCATAAACTAGTTATGAAATCAACTTCCAGTAATGGTACTATCGAACTAATACAATAAAGAAACCTTAAAAAAGTCCGGTAAGTCACACACCAAAGATAATAATTTACCACCAGGTATGCTACAAGTTTGTTTACTGCCATGCTATAATTGTAAAAGAAGAAAAACTCAGTTTACTGACGTGACCACATACACAAACTTTATGTTATTTTATTATACTTTATTATTTTGTATGAATATAATAAATTATGAAAATATACGCTTTCTATATATATATCTACATTTTTGCAAAGAGATCATTATTGCCGTAAATAAATTATTAAAGTTTATATAATCTGCTCCAATACAGTTACAATATTAAGTTCTCTAAAATAATAATAATTATTGTTACACATTAATTGCGTTCAAAGAACAGACACAAAAAGCTGTACATTCGAAAGTAAATTGTAAATAGTCTTATCAAAGCGATATCTTCCAGACAATCTGGATTATGTTCTGAATTATCCTCTTAGTAGATGCTTAAGTAATTTTATTCCACTACATTTGACAATTAGATGAATTTGTAGACGATAAACGTAAGTTGGAGCTTAGCAACAAC